AATTTGAAATGATAACAAAATAGAGAACGACCATCAAATAAGGTGGATGAGGAAACACATGGAAACAATTGAAGGGCATAAATAACAAAGAGGTCTTGCACATGGGGAAGCTCGGTTCAATCCACATAGAAAATGGTTTCGAAATAGGTAATTAGGATTAAACTACACAAAATATGCAAATGAAATTGTAAAGAAAAGCAAAAGAGATAGCCTTACCTGGAACCGAGGTCCGGCACTCGGAGTCGGTGGTTAGGCATAGGTTCGAGATTGTGGTACCGATCTCTTTCGTCTCTTAGAGTTCATCAATTGGGATTAAATAATGTTAAGATTTAGCTGGTGCTCACCTAGATTTGAATTGGATACTAAGCCTAGGCTCTAAAGGAAGAGTATAGAGTCCATGGATATAACCTACAGTCAATGATTTGATTAGTGGCTTGTGGGTATATATTGGCTAGATAAAGCTGCAAAGGTTCAAAGTAGGCCCAAAGGTCTATGAGAGGGGAAATTAGGGTTTCAAAAGGTTTAGGATTAAATGTATAGAGTGGTAGGGCTTTGTCTAATTCTCGTGGTAGGGCTTTGTCTAATTCTCTAAGGCCTGGGGCACCCAACGACGTAGGTCAGGGTCTATATGTATATACTAAGACCTATATCACAACTTTTGCAAGTGGCGGCTCAATCTGGGTCGTAGATCACTAGCGCAAAACAATATTATGCTAAAGTAAATATCTTAATATTAAGGACCCGGTTTCTATGCGGCCAAGCCCACATATATAGAAATGCGGGTCTCTTAATAAATCTATTTTTTAGACGGATTTTAAGACTTAATTTTTTAGAACATGTAATCTCTAACATGGTGATCGTGAATATGAAAAAATAAAAATAGTCTAAAAACTAAAAATAATAATTCTAGTAAGAAAACATTTGGACATTTAGTTTTTCTTGTTTTTAGATGGAATACTTATTTGTCTATCTTTAAGATGGATGTTCCAACCCGAATGAAACAATTTTCCTAATATTCAATGCTTACATAAATAAGTGTTACGCAGACACGGTGGACCTGGCAATTTTTGCAGTTTCCTGCCACCTATCATGTTGTATCCATTGGGACATTTCAAACATGTAAAGGAGCCGTTTTAGTGGTGGTAATGGATTTAAATTAGGAGCTTTAAGGGGCATAAGAGTGGGGTCAAATTAAGGTTAAGTAGGGATTATGGTACTGTTAAGGTTTGGCTAGGGTTTAAGGCTCTTAAACTGAGGTTAGGTTAGATTAGGCACAATTTAGGCAGATTTAGGTCAGTTTAGATAGGTTTAAACTTATTTTAGAAGGTTTTAACATAGTTTAGGTCCAAATTGGAAGATTTAAGGGTGGCTTAGGTCATCTTAGGAGTGCTTTAAGATGGTTTAGTAGACTGAAGTCGTTGAATTAGTTTAGTTGGGTTTTAAATGGAGGAGTTTATTAGCTTTTATAGTGTATGGTATGGACTATGGTGTATGAAAATGATGGTCCTAGGGTGTATGGTCATAGTGTGGTCCTTAATTTAGTTTTAGGTTGAAAAATGAGTTTTTGGTGAGGGGGGGGGGGGCGCAAATTTCATGTTTTTTATTCACGATTAGTCCTTAAAGGGTCTAGGCCTATTCTCTTAGTTTTCTAGGGTTTATGCTTCCTAGAATTCGTTCAGTCGGGAACATGGCCTCTATACACTAGGAGCCAGAACTTGGATCAGACTGCTTTGGATATTTTTTTGCCTTCTTTTCTTCGAGGAATTCTTACTGGAAATGTTCCTGGATGGCTGGGTTAAATGCCTGAGTTAGGGGCCCCTCAAGGTTAGTGAGGGTGAAGTATATGAGAGCTTCTACTTTTCTGAATGATTTCTAAAAGGTCATGTCTCTCTATTTCGCCAGCCAAAGGCCTCTCTCTAGCCACCGAGGGTCTGTTTATACACAATTCTACAACGTCAAACCATGGGGACAAATCTAAGCCGTTCATCATGTAGCGATGCAATGTGCGCCGCACTATCTGTTATTGCGACATGTAATGCATTGCTAAAGTACCACACCCCATTTTGTGACCACCAAATGGTTACTGGATTTATTTTATTTTATTTTATTTTTTGACATCGTTACATACAAATGGAACTTGAGATGTTGGCTTATGAAAACCTAGCCTCTACCATATGGACCCAAGCCCTTTTAGCGCCGAATTTTGGTTTTCCGCATAGATTTGAACTCACATGCAAACTCAAAGTTTGAACCTCCATAGATGGCCAAATCTCATTATTTTGGAGGGAACATGAAAATCCCGGATAATTCTAGTTTGTATAGTCCATAGGACAGTAATCTAGGGGTGTAATATGGTCATAACGGTTTGGTTTTGTAGGCAAGGGTCTATAAATTGGTCTAAGGTTAAGCTTAGGGGTTAAAGGGCCTAGGAATAAGTCCAGTTTTTAAATATGGTATCCACATTAAAATTAATATTGCAGTAATATGTACTGCATTCCATTGTAAATAGGTCAATAACATGAATGCTTCATATGTATTGCACAACTATATTAGATGAGGGTATAAGAGGTGCCAAATTTTAAATATCGTATCCACATTACAATTAATATTGCAGTAATATTTATTACAGGTCAATATCATAAATGCTACATATGTATTGCATAACTATATTCAAATGAATGCATGGGAAGTGCGAGTTAGTTCCAGTGGAAGGCTCATAAAAGGCGAGGTGTAGACCCAAAAGAACATGCTTGAAAGTAGTGAGAAAAAATATGAGGACGTATGGCCTCACTGAAGGTATAACCCTTAATAGAGTAGAATGACAGACCAATCGTGTAGCCCATCTTGATTAGTTAGAAAAAAACTTTGATGATGATAGTGATATTTAGATGATGACAACATAAAGCTTAAGCAAGAAGTTAATTTTTCAGCATTGGGAAATGAGATTAATTACGTAAGCAAGATGAACAAATAGAATAAGATAGTGATGATGAAGATATTGAGCGAACCATGCTCAATTCTCAAAAGAACGTTTGTTTGGTGGTCACATTAATCTTGACAATTGGATGTAAAACCGGGTGTCAACAATTATTCCATTGACCAAGCTTAACCTTCGAAAGAAATTTTTTCGAAATTTGTGACATATCCAAGCTATCAAATTTCACAGCAAATGATTATAAGGAATTGTGACCGCCTTGTATTAAAGGTAATGGTCTCATTGTATACAATCTTTATATTTAATGTGATAACTATTGAAAAACTAATGTTAACTCTTAAAAATGAGAAAATAATTTCTTAAAAACAATTTGTGACTCATCGTCTATTTTGCAACTAAATCCGTGGATTCAGTTATAACAGAAAACAATTTCTTAGAAAGGTGAAGTTTAGGGCTGCCTTGAAGTTATCTACAAGTAGACCCCTCAATACTTTTTGTTATTATTTTTATTTGCATCGACCATGGGTAAACGTTTTAGTCATTTAGGATGAAAATGCCCATCTTACTCGAACATAAAAACGTTTAAGTTTAAAGACAATTCGACCTTGATAAGTTCTTGGAGTCAAGTTCAGTCCAGCCCTCCTAAGGTCTGAACAAGCCTTAAACTGAGAATTTTTTGTGTTTAACTGAGTGAGGCATTTTCGTCAAAAGTAGCCTAAAAACTTCTTCCATGGGCCCAATATAAAAGAAACTAGTAATTAGTGTTTATAGTGAATAATAAAGTATCGGGGGCTCTTATGTGTAGAAATTCAAGGTGGGGAAATTTATGTAATTTATCCTTGTTACAAAACATCCAAAGCACCATAAAATGTATTGAACAACGCTTGCAAGTTCAATGTCATTTATTTTTTGTTTTCCACCCGTTTTGAAGCCTCCTAGAAATTTCAAACAAGAAGGTTGTAATGATATTTGTAAAAGTAAGGTTTTAGTGTTCTATACTATTCATTTTAATTAGAAAGTGTCGATCTAGAGCTATTTTAAAATATTAATAAAATTTACGCCATCCAACTAAAATAGAAAGTGTAAAACACCATAGTCTTACTTCAACAAATAATGTTACAGCCTTGTATAAACCACACCCTTTCAAGAGAATAGGGCTGGCACTGGATGCCGGACGTCCTGACCCAGCCCTCGAAAAGTAGGGCTTGTGGCTAAATTTGGGCTAGGGGAAGTGTTTGTCTGGTTCAGCCCATCCTAGCCGTTTTGAAGCCTCCTAGAAATTTCAGACTGGAAGGCTGTAATGATATTTGTAGAAGTAAAGTTGTAGTGTTCTGTACTATTCATTTTAATTAAAAAGTGTCGATCTAGTGCTATTTTAAAATATTCATAAAATTTACGCCATCCAACTAAAATAGAAAGCGTAGAACACCATAGCCTTACTTTAACAAATAAGGTTGCAGCCTTGTATAAACCACACCCTTTCAAGAGAATAGGGCTGGCACTGGATGTCAGATGTCCTAGCCCAGCCCTCGAAAAGTAGGGCTTGTGGCTAAGGTCGGACTAGGGGAAGTGCTTGTCTGGTTCGGCCCATCCTAGCCATCTCTTTTTCTTGTTTTTCTTTAACTTTTTTTCAGTTGTTTTTAGCCTCCCTCCATCCTAATAGGGCTAGGGCCAGGCCTAAACCAGCCCTACATGAACAAGGGCCAGGCTAAGACAGAGGCTAGCCCAACCCAGCCCAGCTCGGCCTGTTGCGACCCTTAAAGAGATTGCATTCATCATCATTATCATAGTATTTTTCTAATTAATTGAGATCGCCTACACAAGACTTGATTACGTAGGTAAAATCTCTCTCCTAAGTTAAGCATAAGCCCATCTGTCAATGAAAAGATGGTAATATCCTCCAATCGACATTCACACCAAAATTTAACATTCACGCTTGGTTTGGAAGAGACACACCCAACCCTATCATTTGCGTTTGCTTAGCGGCCAATGCACACAAAACCAACCAACTCTTCTTCGATATATACTTTTGCATCTCATTCCACATTCCCCATCTATCCTCTCTCTCTCTCTCTCTCTCTGTGTGAAGGCAGAGCCATGTATCGTGTTTTGAGGAGCTTGTTAATAACAATAATGATAGGATTAGGAATGAGCACAAGAGGTGCATTTGGTGCCAAACATGAGGTTGGAGGGAGCCAAGGATGGGAACTCTCCACCGATTTGGATTCATGGGCCTCGGCCCAAACCTTCAGAGTTGGGGACCAATTGGGTAATCATCTCTCTCTCTCTCTCTCTCTCCTGATTCCTGATAGCGAGGCTAAAAGTGCCGTATTCCTATAAATTCTCACATTCCAAAATTCAAACAAGTCATGCAACAACCTTTGTAGAATTTGAAAAAGGAAAAAGTTCCTCGAAGTTTGACACCTTACTATGTAGGACTAAGGCGCGCCTCGAAAATGTAGTGGAAAATTTTATTTTGATGTTTCAAAACCATCTAATCGGTCATCTTGAAGTCGAGATGTATGGATATGAAAAAAAAAAAAATATTGAGTATAAAAATGTCATCTTGCAACACATTATTTGGATTGTTTATTTTTAAGATTTTCATGCTTTTATAGATCTATATATTTGGAGCAACTTTTGAAGTTTAAAAGTTTATAATTAGAGATAAAAATAGAGTCACGAGCCATCCTTAGAATTTTTAATGGTAAAATTGTATATTATGACAAAGTTTGCAGGTGTGCCTTACTTTGATTGTTTAAGGTTTCAACTTATGCAAACTACACAATTTAGAAAATAGAAGAAAAACGTTTATACAAGGTGTCACTTTATACTATTGAAGTAAGGTGCACCTCAAAAATCATCTAGAAAATAGTGCTCCTACATTAGAAAACGCTCCAATTGATCATCTTGACCTCGAGATATATAGATATGAAGAAAAATACAATTTCATGTCGTAAACATAGTGCATCTTGTGATAAGTTATTTGGACCATCTATTTTTTTTAAAAAATTAAATATTTATAGACCTACTCAATCTGTTCCCCTTTTGAAATTTTAAATTTCATCACTTTGTATACAAATGGATTTTCAGACTTTGATACTGAAACCACATCTCCACACAATTTAGAGATGTGCCTTACTTCCGGTCCTCTACAATATAAGGTGGCAGCCTTATATAAGCCTCACCTAAAATAAAAGCCCATTGGTTATTGAAAAGCCAACAACTTAAAACCATTTGAAAGTTTCTTTTTATGGGACTTTCTACAGTAGATCAATTGAGAACTGCCATTTGCAAATGCAAATCGAAGCTTCTCAAATTACAAGAGTTGCAATTGTTACTCAAGACCTTCACATGTCCCAAGGACCCCGTAAAATTTAAAATAAAAACCCCAATTAAGATTTTGTGTTGAGAAAAATGGCGATTTTTGCAGTTTTGCATGACCAGACTTGAACAGGATCTGTTGTGTGGGTTGTACATCTCTTTTTTTTTTTGGTAGTAAGTGGGGCAGGGTTCCAACTTTCGGTTGCAATTGAGCTTAGGACATAGCGTTGCAAATTGTCAAGTACTAACAAATTAAACCTGGCCCTTTTCCTGTTGTACATCCCTTTCTGATGGAGGCACACTTAGCAATGTGGACGATGATACAATCCCACGTGGCTGGAGCGTGACTATTGGCTTTGGGCCCCACAGGGCTCCATGAGTCGCTCTCATTAAGCAAATGGCTGATTAGATGGCCACGTAGCAATCTAATTGATGGACAACTTTTTTAACAAAAAAAAAAAAATGGGACATTATTACAAGGATGGGGCAATTTTTTTTTTTTTTTTTTTTGGGGTTCAACATGGGGTCAAAAATAGTTAGTTTTCTATTAGGTTTAAAATATCGGTGATTCGGATCGGAACCAGCTGATTTGAATTGGGAATTGGTTAGGGCGATCAGAATTCCGTTAAATGCCGGTTCCCATCAGGAGCAAGCTGGTTTTGACTGGTTCTCTGACATGGACTAGCCTGTTCTATTTGAAAATCAATCCCACTTTATTTTTTTTAATACCTTTTAAAATTTTTCATTCTCCAATTTTTAAAATTTTTATTCACATGTTCACTAGGGTGGGTCATTGATCCAAACTGATTTCTTGGACGAGCGATCAACACCGGACCCTGTTTTAACCTTGGTTTTATCCTAAACTGACCTATATGACGGGACAAAATTCTTGAATCGTGAATATGACTCGTAAGATCAAGTCACGCGAGAGAACGGATTCGGAGCTCAAAAGGTGCCTCAAATGAAAATCGGCTCAAAATTTTGATCTCGACGGTCCGTTATTGTGAATATGGAGTATGAAAAAGTTCGAGGTGATAACCCATTTTCCTTTCTTGTAACCATTTTTCTTCAATTGATTTTAGGATGCATCAAAGATGTTTTGAGAAAGTTTTAGGTCACATAATTCTCCCTAACTGGGTGTTGTTTGCCATCAGACCAACCGCCTACAGCTATGGGGTTAAAATAGTTATTTTTAAGTGCAAAATCATAAAACCCCAATTCTGCACTATGATCCCTCATTATTTTTGGGAAAAAGTTTATGTAAGGTTAAGGCCCTAAACAATCAAATTAAGGCGCACCCCAAATTTGATACTGAAAAAGGTTTTTTGATCCTGAAAAACCCTCAAATCTAATTATCTCGACCTTGAGTTACATTAGAAAAAAGAAAGAAGGGACTTAAAGTCTTGGAATAGTACATCTTGTAATACATTATCTACATCATCAATTCTCTACATTTTCAAGTGTTCATAGATCTATTTGATCTACACTATTTTTAAAGCTTTAAATTTTCTAATTATAGATGAGAATAAATTTTCAGGCCATCATAAATATTCTTGGTATTGAAATGACATCATTCGACATTATTTGAAGGTGCGCCTTATTTTGATTGTTTCGGGCCTCAGCCTTGTACAATCTGCACCCTTATTTTTAAGACACATAAAAAGTGCGAAAGGCTTTTTAGTTAATTTTCTTTTAGAGGTTGATTTCTAAGTTGAGGAGGTCGCATCCCAAAGTTTGAGGTCCTAACATTCTCTTAGAGAGAGTTTTACCTTAGAGATTGAGTAGATGATATACTTTCCATAATTGATTTTATGAAGGTATTTATAACACTATATTAAGGTATTCTCCTATATTTTTTGTGAAGTTAATATGCTAGCTGATATTTTTACAAAAAGAGCTACATCTTTGTCTAGAAGCTACTGTTTGGCGTTTCGTCCGCTGGATTTTATTTACCTTGCTTTAACTCATGATTTGGCACAAGTGCCCTGCTCTAGGGGTTGTAAATTAATGAGCTGTAAACTTTCTATTTTTACCTTTTAATGAAAAACGGTGGGGGCATTCTCCTCCACGGAGTTATCTTACAAAAAAACAAAAAAGGTATTCATAACACCACAATCCCAAGTTGGAATCCTATCACTAAACTCCCAAAAGACAGAGAAAACAAATTCCTTGTGCTCTCATCCATTTGCTTTCTTCTAACCAACAGCTCTTCTCCAGTTTTCAAATACACCAAGGGATTACACAGCGTTGTGGAACTGGCAAACAAAAAGGAATATGATGCTTGTGATTTGAGCAATGCACTTAGCTCTTTGAGTGATGGCTCTGATGTGGTTAAGCTAGACAAGCCTGGACACAAATATTTTACCTGTGGAACCATGGGCCATTGCCAAGGGGGCATGAAGCTCAAAGTTAAGGTCCTCTCAACAGATGAAAAAGCTAGCCCTCAGGCCTCACCCTCCTCTACATCTTCTTCTCCAACAATTTCTTCTGCATTTTATGCATACCCACCTTCATATATTATGATGATGGGGCTAATTTCAGCCATTCTTTTACTGTTGAGGTGGTAGTGTTTGTGCCTTATTCAGGGCTTTGTCCATTAAGTCGCTTATTTGGCCTTGCTTCTATTGAGTGGAGAATTTTGAGTTGAATTCTTGTATTTTTTTTCTTTTTTCTTTGATGTTTTTTTATTTGAGAGAATTATGAGTTCAATTATTGTATTTGTATTCATTTGAGGTGTAATGATGTTGTCTTAGACATTGGGAATCAATGTTTCTTATCTTGCATTCTGGTGAAACAAGCATCACACTTTAAGGATAGTATTCTACAATTGTGGGCTTTCAATATGTAACTCACATGGTTACAGTGAAGATGTGTTTTACTTACTGCAGTATGTAATGGTGAGCTTTTAAAACATTCCACAAAGAGAAAAATTTGTATGCATGTATACGCAAAATTTGTATGCATGTATACGCATGTAAAGTGTATATCTTTATTTATTTATTTTTTGGTAGTTCAGTGGGAAGGAGGTCCCCTACCCGTGATTGGAGAATCCACTACCCTAATCACCGAGCCATGAGCCCATTCCTTCATCATCAGAGCTTTATCTCAATACTTAGGGTTGACTACACGAATCATATTTTTCCATTCTACTCGATCTAAGGGTCATACTTTTAGTAAGTCTATAAGTTCCCATATCCTTTTTCATTACTTCTATCCATGTTCATTTGATCTCATTCATCGGAAAGTGTCAATCTAGTTGCAAAAGAATTTGTTAATTAGGAAATGAGGTCAGCTAGGCAAATAGAAAATAGCATAAACGGATTTGATTAGGGCAAGCTTTCTATACTTCCCCTACTATATAAAACTTATATACCTTTCCCAATCCAACTGTCCATTCCAAATGGACGGCTGAGATGGCCCCAATCACAATGTCACACCTACACTATTTTATTTTTAATTTTTTTTGCAAAACATTTTGACACCAAATATTGGGCGTCCACTCTTCTCTTAAACTCGTACATATAAGAAATATAAAAAAAAATATTCCCAATTAAATAAAATAACTATAATGCCCATGAAAGTTTTGGGTATTTGGGTTATTTAATTTTATCAAAAATATTTTTTAAATATTTTGTTTTGGTTCGCCCCATTGAGATGATGACACTTACCAAATTTAATAATCATATAATTTGTAAAAACAAATATTAAAAATAAAATATTCTAAGACGTCGGATCTAAATCAAATGGTCAGGGTTCACTTGATCTAAATTAGACGGCTGGATGGGGTGAGGGGAAAGTATATATCTTCCATACAGTAGGGGAAGTATATAAACCTTTCCCCCTTGATGATTACATCTCTTTCCTTGTGTCTATACACACTTTTGGGTATTGTTTTGTTGCAAATGAAAATCAATTATATTCTTAGAAATTTTAAAAAATATACCTAACTTATCAACAATTTAAATTTTACCCATTTTAACTATTCTATCTCATCATCGTCGTGATGGTTTTTTCTAAGTAAATCAAAAGATATGAATAAAATGTAAAGGGTTTTAAGTGAATTTTGATAGATTTCGCATTTTCTTTATGATTTGGAGATCGCGATATTGTGATTTTTCACAAACCGTATTTCAAATGAATTGTGGTTTGAGTCATTGGATATGGCAATTTCCTGAATTTTCACAAACCGAATTTCAAATGATTTGTGGATTGAGGTTGTTTGGCTGCAGAGAGGAAACTATGATTTGACAAAGGGCAAGGGTATTTTATATTCAAAGATTTAGGTCACATATAAAACTTAAAATATGCAACTTCAATGTGGTATGCATTAGACGGGATATTTATCCAAAAAGAACATGCATTAGACAAGGAAATTTGTTCAGGAAGAGTAACAAAAGCCAATGTACAAATCAATGCTCTTATCAGTGTTCCACAAATATCAAATAAGGATTCCCCAAGGAAAATGTTAAAATAAGGCTTAGGCTATTGAAAAAAATAAATCCTCACCTCGAAACTCACCAAAAAATTATAGTTTTGGTGTCAGAAAATCTTTAAATCGATTATTTCGACCTTGTCATTATGATTGTGAAAAAAAAAATAGAATTTCAAACCAAAAAAATAGTGTCTATTTTAATACATGGTCTGGACCGTTTGTTTTCAAGTATTTGTAGATCCACAAGATCTGTACCATTTTGGGCTACAAATTTCATAATTGGTGGTGAAAATAGATCTTTTAAAGCTATTTTAAGGATTTTCTATTCCTGTAGTGTTTTCAGGACAAGATTTGGTGACGAGGCTTTACTTTTTCTTTTTCCTCTCATAAGGCCTAGGCCGTATAGAAACTAAATCCTTCTCCAAATAACATATTGAAAAAGTTCCTCTCATAAGGCCTAAGCCCTATAGAAACTACATCCTTCTCCAAATAACATATTGAAAAAGTTAAGTGACATTCATTCTATTACTTTACTCTGAAAACTTTTCTCTAAGAATTATGTTCAAAACTTAATCACAAGTGAAATCTAACTTTTGAATCCAACATAGCTGCCCAAACAAGAAAAGAATGAAGGTGAAGAGAGAGGGACAATATAGAGAGGAGAAAGGGACTGCATGTAAGAGTCCAAAGAAACCCTAAAACCATTTATATAAACAAGAGAATGGGCATAAAAATGAAACGGAGCATAAAAATCCAGAGCTTAAAAAATGCAACTCACGGGAAAAAAAAACACAAAAAAAATGTTTGTAATTAATAGGTACTAGTACTAATAAACATTTATTAGTACTAGTTCGGTCAATTTATTAGAAGATGGTGCACTACAAGATCCCTCAAGAAAGTACATGATTACAATTATTTGTCAGGAGTAAAATCGGATAATTTGGATGTGTCACAAAGTTTGAGAAATTGTTTTTAGAATTTGAACCTAATGCAATTACGAAATCGCAATCGTCTGATCTCACATTTAATGGTCAGAAGATGACTATGCCCTTGTAGAACCAAAGATAAATGATCTAGTCATATACCTATTCTCATTTGAAGCATGAACAAAATTCATTCATATGCACAAAAAAAGTAGGGGCATCTTGGTTATTGTCAAAATGTAATGAAGTGATCAAAGGTAGCTAGTTCTATTGTAGTATTTGTTATGTTTTCATTTATTATGAAGTAGTGGAGGAAAAGTATGGGAATTGTCCTTTTCAAATGGGAACTGAGGGATGTCTGGTTCCACAGACTTGTGAAACAGAGACTGCTGAGTTTTCCGGTTCACTGTAGTAAACTAGGCTATATATTCATTTGACTTGGTGGCTCGTGGATTTTGAACAATTTTACGGCAATTATTATTTTCATTTTTTTTAGATGAGTCGATGGGGAGAGGGCCCCTACCTTTGGTAGGAATTGAGCCTAGGACGTAGCACTGCAAATCGTCAAACGCTAACCAATTAAGCCCGGGCTCTTTTCCTATTTAACGACAATTACTTGAGTATGATGAAGTGCCTTTTTTGCCCCTTTTTTATTTGAAATGGGACCTTTTTTTATCAATGTTTGGCTCATTTTGAATCATTTTAGTCCCAAATTTATGAGATATAATTGTTTTTGTCGGCCTAGCCAAAAACAAGGGCCACAAGATGTGGCTGGGCTAGGGCCATGCTTGGGCCAAGGCTAGCCCAATTTTGCCTCGGCCCAGCCCATTTTTTTTTCTAATTATTTTTCTCTTTATTTTCTTGGGTTATATTTTGG